CAAACCATGACACACGTCAACCACAATCACACACGCCATTCACCCTACCACCACCGCCACACACACACACAAACACACTGTCCGTCCTTTCTCTACGTCCATAGCAATAATACATCAGATCTACCTTCATTGAAGCAGAGCTAAAATCAAACCCACCCCCCTCCGCCCACCCACCTCGCCCCGTCAGCCGTGGCCAAATCCAATCACAGCTCGATACTCGCTGTGATTGATTGGCTTCCAATCCAATTGAATCTCTCTCACAGATGGAGGTGGGGGTGGAGGGGTGGGGGGGACGACGACTGCCTTGCTCAAAGCCATTAGGCATTGGCATTGGAGGTGGAGGGAGGGGGGATGAAAACAGGGAGACAGAGGAGAGAAAAGAGAGATGGCAGGAGAAGAGGAGTAATTGAGAGAGATTGAGAGAGTGCGAGATAGAAGACGACTAAAAGAGAAAGAGAGAGGGAGAGGGATGTTCGTAAGATTGCCAGCTACCATTTGAACAATGGACAGTGTGTGTGTGTGTGTGTGTGTGTGTGTGTGTGTGTGTGTGTGTGTGTGTGTGTGTGTGTGTGTGTGTGTGTGAGTGTGTGTGAGGGCTGTTGTGTATGTCTGCCAACTCTTGTTTAATTGCCTTGTTAGAAGTTGACTGTAACTGTAAGCTGCAAAAGTGCTTCAAGACACCAGGGAGGGGGAATAAAAAGTCTCATATTTCTCCGTCTGTCTGGGTTTTTTTTTCTTACACAGCAGACAGAACACATAAAGAGCAGTCAGATCCACTGTTCCGCCTTTTTACAGTTTATGATTTACTCTAAAACTGATCCATAACGCACAAGTTCCCTCTGAGAACCATCAAACTTCGCAACAGTTAAAGTCAAAGCCCGTAAAGTGAAGCGTTGTCCTTCACAATACTGTTATTTTTCAATTTTATAACCCCGCCTCCTCCATGTTAACAGATGGAACATGAGTAAACACTCTAATATGCTGTTTGTCATTAAAGCAAGCTCTTATCATCTGATTGAGAAGTTTAGTTTGACTCTGTTATTGTCATTTTAAAAGATTATTGATTGGCAGCTCTGTTGACCAATGCGGCTACCTCCAGATTGGTGGGGTAGAGAAGTCAAGTTGTGCAAAACCAAATAACAATGTAAGAAGATTATATATATGGTTATATTGTGGAGTCTCTACTGTGACACAAGAACAGACTATGAAGACTGTGTGTGTGTGTGTACGTGGAGAAGGAATAATCACAAACACACAACCAGATGAATAGAAGGTTCATGTTGATAATGAGGCAGATTTGACGTTCGCCTCGTAGGGACGTGGTGTTTATTTCTCTGTCTCTTCCTCCCACAATTCCCTCTGACCACAACTCCCTGTGTCCTGACAAACCAAAAGAGAGAGAGAGAGAGAGGGGGAGAGAGAGCAAGAGAGAGAGACGGAGACAGAGAAGAGAAGAGGAAAATATGGAGAGGTGAAGAAAGAGAGAGCAACCCACAGACCACATAATGGTTGTGGCATCAGTTATATGGCTAATACAGAGAGCGAGAGAGGCTGCAGTTTGAGTTCAGTGTGTTTTCGGCTTGTTGTCGGCCAACTCATCCGCTAAAGTTCTCTTCAGAGCTGGACGACGCAGTTTGAAATGTTTGTTCATATTCTACACAAATGAGGCAGGTCTGATACTTCAACTCCATGGTTAAGTTTTGATGCCGCAGATGTTGTATCCGAGATAGCAAACAATTATCACGCTGAATGCAGGAGAGTCCAACAGAGCACCCCTACAGTCTTCTGTCAACGGCTTTAAACACAGTATTTGTAAAGGGTGTACAAGTGTCTGTTAGTACTACGAGCAGCACAGGGATGATAAAGCCGCTGACTATCTCTAAGCTCTTACAACACCTCATCATATCCACGTCTATCTCTGTTCCCATCTCCACTCGGCTCCTAGTCATAAAGATTAGACGCCACTCTACAAAGTCCACACGTTTCACTCAAGTCCAGAGGTTACCCAGAGCTGGTTAACAAGACCCCGCTGAGACACAAACACTCACTCCTCTTCACAGCCTCACGCAGTAAAACAACTCAGCAGAGCTGCGCATGGAGGTGAGTTGAGAGTCTGACTTCTCAGACTGTTCTTAAATTTTAGGATTATATTGTTGAAGATTTCCCAGATTTTTCAGGGTGGGCTTGGAGAACTTTACCCACATTTTGGGGGAAAAAGGTCTAGCAAATTTTACCTAAAACTTCAGAGTGGGGTTGGCGAAATGTCTTCAAAATTTGGGTGAAAGTCTGTCACGGTTTTCCCAGGATTTTAAGTCGAAGTTCATGAATCAAAGGCAGTTTTTACCTCTGACTTTTTCCAACCAGTTTCAGCAAAAACTCTGCCAAAGTAAGGTTAGCTGGTGTGTAAATGCAACAGGTTAAAAGTCAGGAAATCCTTTTTGAAACTTACTGCATATATGCACATTTTTTTCTTTCTTTTACCTCACGCTATGATGAACAAACTTGAAAAATGTCCACGAATATTAGGGTTGTGTACATGTTTCAATGCAAATTAGCCACTACTTTTATCCAGCTTTACCAGAAGATCGTTATATCTGCACCTCGTGCAAGACATCGGGTGAGCAGATGAGTGAATGCAGGAGGAAAAAGTCAGAAAAATTCAGTTTATCATCAAAACCTAACTGATTGAAATGAAGCTCCTTCATGCTTTTCTTCTTCCCTTGTTGTTGTTTTCTACTCATTTCTTGAAGACTTCACACTAACATCTTTGGACATTTTCAGGAGCAGACTGATCTGACATTTTCCCAAAAATTTTAGGAGTTTGTGTGTGAAAGGGGCTGTAGTATGTTCAACTGTAAAAAGGTTATCAGACACACTCATAGGGGGAGCAGCTCATCTAATACAGTTGTGTGTTTTGCTTCATCGAGATGTTACCAGGTGTTAATGCGATCAACTTGATCTCAATCCAATAGCACTGAGATACTGCTAAAAGGCCTGATGCTTGCTCGCACTCTCACACACTGTGCAATTAACAGGGTAACCTGAGACATACTAAAAAGTGAAGAAGAGCAAAGGATTGTCCTCTATTTTTATTCCTGTCATTGATTATTTAGTTTGAAAACTTTCTTCTGTTGTTAGATTTTCCTTTTTTCAGCTATACCCTTCCTCCTTTTCCCATACATCCCCTCTCCCTGTCTCCTCTCTTTCCATCTATCTCTATCTATCTTCAGGTGTTATCTGTCCGTTTAAAGCGGAGGGCAATTAGGCCGTCAGTCTCATTAATAATACATTGTTAAGCTCGTTAATTATTTACCTTAATTGCTGATTTAAGTTTCCCTTCCCTTGACACAAACAGCCACCAGGGAAGTCACACACTCTGACACACACACCCTGAAAGAGGTCACTGGCTCTCAAAGGTGACGAATGGATTAAGTTTCCTCTACTCTCTTTCTGATCTTTCCCCCTTTTCGCATTCCTTTATTTGAGTGTGGGTCTGTGTGTGTGTGTGTGTGTGTGAATATGCAAAGAATGCGATTCTGCACTCAGGAATCAGTGCTCTCAGATCAATACAGTTGATTGAGTGTTAATGAAAAGAGTGCAGCAGCTACTAAAACTAAGTGTCACCATGTTTCTGTGCTTTGTTAATGAGGCTGTAGGCGACAGGGAATACTAATGTTTTTATTACAGGACCGGTTCTCAGGTTTAGTCAATGATCAGGATGCTCATCGGTTTAAGTGTAAATAAAATATATAATGCGTTTATAGTTGTTATTAGATAAATTACAAAGAAAGAAATGACAATGGTCCCGAGACTGTTGAAAAATTCAAACAAGATCACTGCATTCACAGAAAAATATCAACGTGGTGTTCAATATCCTTCTGGTGTTGGCTTCATTTTGGTCCCCACCAACCTAAATTTGTCATTTATTGAGCTTAGCATGGGTAATGGTTGGAGTTTTTTAAGAGCTTTTCATCACAAACAGATCCCAGATTTTGCTGGGAAAAAATTTTACATTTGGCGTCACAAAGCCAAAACCACGTAAAACTAAAAACATCCTGGAAAATAATCTCACCTGGAGCAACACCTTTCCCATCACACTCAGTTTCTGTAACTAATTCAAACATTTCAACTGATGCAGCTTTAAGGTCATTTTCTTCATAACTATTTTTTTTATTGTATATGCATCCATCTTGGTTTTCAATCCAGGGGTTACTGGAGTTCATCTGTGTGTCTGAGTTTGAATTCTGACTGGAATTGTGGCTTTTGAGTTTAGATGGGATGCACTAGAAGTTCTGGTCCCAAGAACTTGTACATGTCCTTTCTTTATCTCCTCTGTCTGGATGAATAAAATATATGCAATGATTGAAGTTGAAGTGTTTAGAGAGCTTTAAGTTCGTATCTACCAGAGAACTAGAGTAATGATACATGGAGATATAAACATCTATGCTGATGATCAACTCTTATGTTTTAGTTTTATTGTTTTACATCAATTCTGCTGTCGCTAGTTGTTAATATTCATTTACATAAGGAGTTCACTGACTGGCCTTCATAACATGGCGGTTAAATCTTTATTGAACATAAGACGGCACTGACATGAAATTCTTTTCACTTTTTTTCACTTTTTCCTCTGACCTCTTCAGTCTTTGTCCTCTTTTTCTTTTCTGTCTCTGAGTTGGACTCTAACCACGCTTATCTAGAGGACCCTTTGGACTCAACCTTGACTTTGAGATCAGAACAAGAAGGCGTTATCAGTGACACCAAAGTCTTTAGTGACACACATGGCCCACATTTAGTTTAACCTTCCTGTGTCTTTTATCTCTTTTTTTCTCTCCTGTTTTCTTCTGCAGGACTGTTATACACTTTAAAACAAATGAACACTCAGCATTACTTGACTCTTTCTGTCTTTGCACGCAGGTTGGAGCTGGTTGGATTTGGTGTCTTGGAGCCAATAGACGGACAGACAAATCAGAGGACAGACTTCTCACTGTAAATGATAGTGACTCCTCGCTGTCAGTAACAAGGATTCATCCTGTTGTGATGCTGCAGGCTGACAGGAAATCACTGTTACTGTGGGCGAGTGCCACAAACGCACAAAGTGCTATAGTTATAATTGTTTTACTGCTGGAGTTGCTTTCACTCTGCACTGTTTGTTTTTAAAGCTCAGCATAATGCTTTGTGGTGTCATTTTGAATAAATCAACATTAAAACATCTTTTTCTTTATTTGATTGAATATCGGCTTCTTTAAACCAAACAATGGCAGAAAGAATTTGGGGAATAAACAGAGCCAGGGACTGGATGATGAGGCTTTTTTAACAACTGTTTGTAGATATAAATTCAAATGTATTGTTGGCACAAATGTTGATGCCTCCAGTGGACACTCAAGGAACTGCAGTCATTTGAACTTCCACACTGGCTTCATTTTTCAACAGTGGAGATTACTACTTAGTTCAAATACAAACAACACAGGCCTGATCAATTGGCTAATCAATTCATCCATCTATCTTTACTCCTTATTTTGGTAAAAGTGCCAATCAGCTTCACTCACAGACGAAAGGACGACGCGAATATAGAATGCAAAATTATGAAATATTCGGAGGTGAATTTTGACACGCCTGACTATACACATCAAGCCCGATGCTATTTTGCGACTTTCCAAGGAGAAAAAAGATGCTTCCGAGAAGAGTGTTGCCGGGGAAAGACCCGCCTCCTTCGCCTCTGTTTGGCTAGAAAAGCTAGAAACGTCATCACACGCTCAAGCCAAGCGGTCAGCACTTATAGCCAATCAGAGACGATAAGATAAGCACATGAAACTATGGTAACAACCATTAGCTTACATTAGCATCGATGAAAGTTAAAATAAAGACGTTTAGCAAACTGTTAAAGCACACAAAACATCGTCATATGAGAGATCCGATGCTATGACTCTCCACAAGTTGTCCTTCAGGTCGTTATCTTTGTAATATTTGTGTTTTTTATCAAAAAACACTCTGTTTTCTTTTTGTTATAAAACAATCAGCCAGTCGGCCATGTTGGATATACCAGTGAATCAAAAAATCGACCGTGATCCGAAAAAAAAAAAGCTGCATATCACAGGATGGGAAAACGTCGCTGATGTGAACGCTTGTATTAACAGGTTACGGGTTTGGAAAAAATATTGACGTCCAAAATAATCGCACAAAAAAAAAAAAACGCTCCTGGTGTGAAAGGACCTTTCACTGCAACAAACTGAAAAAGAAAATGGACCAATCTGATGGCAGAAACACTCAAACTTAAGTCTGTTTGGAGTAGGAGCAACTGGTTTGTAATGTGATCACAACGTTTAAGCACAAGCCCAGTTAGAGCCTGTATTTTAAAAGGATTTAGAATCATAACTTATGTTTACACCTTATTAAAGTGAGTAACTGTTAATGGGTAATTTACTCTGTCAGTTGTTTAAATGAAGAGCTGAAAATCTACTTTAATGTCTTGTTGAGTCGATCATTACAAGACGCTGTCCGTGGTGCTGAAAAATGAACTGACTATTAGCGCAAAGAAAAACAAAATACACCATGCAATTAAATGAAATGTCATTTTAGGAGCATTTATAGGAAGGAATAACAACTTTCATACTACTTTTGAAGTTTAATGTTCCCAAATTTACCCTGAAAATGTCCCCCATGTGTGACTCTAAAGCTCTCACCTTGCATTTTTGGCACATTAACATCAAAAAGACATAATTTTCACACACTGGCCTATCAGCTGGATTCATCCGCCGCACAAAATAGACCCCAGTGTTTCAGTCTCTATCAGATTTGAGAGTCTGAATGTTCGCAGAGTAGCTGCAGAAGTTTGTGAAGAAACTCGGCTGAGGTGCTGAAGTTCAGTTTTGGGAAGTGATGTGTGTACTTGTGTTAAAGCGTCACTAAATGAATGACTCTAATTGCCTTCAATTATACTAAAGCGTCTCCTATCAGAGTTCATGTCGCTGGTGTGAGCTCACATCACAACTAGCCTTCTGCTCCAAACTGAATCCAACAACACACACATACACACACACACACACACACACACATCCCCCGCCTGTTAGCCCACTCTGGTTTAGTTTCACCCGGCTAGTTCCAAGACAGGGTCTGCTGTGTGTTTGTGTGTGTGTGTTCATTTACCTGCCATAAAGACTTTTTCTGCACGAAGCCCTGGGGAACCTACACACACACAAACACACACACACACACACACACACACACACACACACACACACACTCACACACACACACACACACACACACACACTTAGATGCAGGCGTTCATAAGCGTACACAAAATTAAATACAGGCAAACCTTGAGCCTCTACTCACACACACTCTCGCTTTAATTTTCATACACACACATTGTTAAAAGACACAACACAAGTCTCTCTCACACACACACACACGTGCACTCACAGACCCCGCGAGGCCTCCCTTTAGCTCTCCTTTAGACGTTTGGCCGTGACACGTTGGAGGAAAGGCGGCCCAGCGGAACCGACTACGGGCAAACACAAACAAATAACAGCAGCAAGATGCCAAAACAGCAACAGGAAGAGAAATTCACACACTCGCTGAACTACAGGGTTGTCCGGACAACAAAGGACCAAGACTTCGGGTCAGGAAAATACAAGAGGAGCCCTGCCTGACCAGAGTCAACATTACAGTCTGCTTCAAATTGATCAGGAGTTTGTAGCCTATCAATCTGAATCTGTTTCTCCAGCTCTAAAATGTCGCTTTCAGCTTTTTAAATTACCAAAATAAAAAAAGGTCAGTCTTGTTGCCGATAGTTTTGATCGCACATGCAGTTAAACACACACATCTTCGTTGTTACACCCCTGGATTGTAATATTCACCAGGGATTGGTGGAATAAACGAGCTGTGTGGAGCTCGGAGCAGAGCGTAAGGTAACACAGCCGTACAGAAATGGTCGAGAGAGAAGCGGCCCTGGAGATCTATGTGGATCCTCTCTGTCTCTTAAAGATTTCTGCTCATATTTCCCTCCAGCTGGAACAGATATAATCGTACAGCAGTCCGTTCTCCAGCTCCCAGGGGAGCCCTTTCCCTTAAACAACCCCCAATAACAGTAAAGTTACACATCAAAAGACGGTGTACCTGCTTCCCAAAAACACAAAACAATCAATGAATGACGAAAAAAGATGGTTCTGAATTTATATCATGTTTTTGTCGATCTCCTGTTTTTAGTGCTGGTAATTGTAGTCCTATATAAGGTAGAAGAAGAGTTTGTTTGTTGTCCCTTGAGACTGTGATGCTAACTGTGTAAATTTCAGGGGCCTTATAAGTATTTCGGCTATTAAAGGGCCCCTGCAAACCTGTGCAAACTGTACTAATAAAGTGGAGTACCCCAAGGCTGCGTCCAAGGACAACAGAGTTTTTTCATAGTGCAGAGGTTTATTTTGCATCATCCTGTCTGAGCTGAATAAATATCCATTTCTAGTTTTTATATTTATATTATGTAATGAAATTGCAGACGATATGACCCCCAAGTTCACTGAATATATCACATGGATATTTTTCTGTCGTAGATGTAGGGTAAATATGTTTTTAAAAAACATCCATGAGTGATTTAAAAATGAAAAGTACAGTAACAAGATTTCCGGTATGTTCCTTTAATAAAGGTTTACTGTAAGTTATAATCGTATTAAAGACGTTTGGAGACTTGAGGTCTCTCTCTCTCGCTCTCTCTCTCTGTCACTCCTGCCTTCTTTGTCCTTCACTTTCTTCTTCTTCATTCTTCCACACACACTCTCCCTCTACATCTGTGTGTGTGTAGTTTTGATGTCTTTACAGTGATATTAAAGCAGAGCAGCGTCTCCTTTCTTTTTCCTTCCACAGACTGGGGCTTTAAGTGAATTGTTGTCTATCTGAAAGGCTGACAGGGAGAGAGTATTGTTTCTGGAAAATGACTCACAAATACACAAATTATCCATCAGTGTTATCATAGACTGGAGACTGTGCTAACACTTAGAGTTGTTTTAATGCATCACAAGGCGTCTGAAGAAGATTATCAACAAATTAAAGTAGCGACAAACAATGAAGCGTACAACATTTACATTATTTTAAAGCAGAAAGTAATGTAATTAAAACCTGCTCGTCAATCTGTCTTTAGGTGAAACCAGAACACGTGCTCATCTCAGTCTAGAGTAAGAGGAGACGATACTTCCTGGCTATTATATCCCCATGGCGACCCACTATAATTAGACCTATCAGAGGAAGCCTTGACCGACCAGATCCATACTCCAAACTCTACAGATTAGTCATTTTAAAGGCAGAGTCAGCAGCATGGGACAGCCAGAGGAATCAGCTAAGTCTAGAGAGAACTTCATGTCTCTCTGGTTGGGAAACACTTGATTATTTTGCGTTTTGAAATAGCTGAATCTTTAAGGTTAATTTCTAACAGAGGAGCATCAAAGACGGCTTCAACTCAGGTGCTTTTATGCCAATCGTGAGGGGAAAGACAAAAGTCCACAGGCTGTTTGGCCTCAGGGAATTCAAAGTCATGAAACATGGACACTTTGATAGATTTCTCAGGCCTGCTTTCTGCGTATATCTGTCACTGACAAGGATTGTGAAACGTTGAAGTGCCAAAGAGACAGGGATGTGCCCAGACTATGTGGAGTGAGGTGGCTCAGCTGACTTATTCAAGGGGGCAGAATATTTACCAAATGAGGAATGGAGGCAACACAAATGCAGAAGGAGAATGACAAATTTTAAAAATGTGGGTGACATAGAGGAGGAAAAAGGGAAAGGGAGGAGAAAAGGCAGAAGAGAGGGAGTAAAAGGAGGTCTGGTTTTGTCACCAGAAACCAGAGTGGATTGCAGCAAACTGGACTTTAATTACAGCAGAGAAATGACACTCGATCCACTCATATCAGGTCACATCAGAGAGGAGGAGAGGGAGGGAGGGAGGGAGGGAGAAATAGAGCTATGACAGGGGAGGGAAAGAGGAGGAAACAAAGGAGGAGGAATGATGTAAGAGAGGTGACAAAATGAGGGATGAGGAGGAGAAGAAATGTAAGGCGAGTGAGGTCAGAATTAAGATGATAGAGGGAAACAG